TGCTGGACAAACCGATTGAGTTTTCATTCACCACAGCTGGGAACATACCCAAATTTCCATTTGTCGTATTAGAATGGAAATTTCCAAAGAATCCTGCTCTTATGAATTGCAGGTGAATCAGGGTAAAGCTGGCAGGAAACAACCAGAGCCAGAGCAGCTTGTCCAGTGCCATTGAGGAGAAATACAGCACATCCACTGTACTATTTCTCCTGGTAGTGAATCTGATCGTGTTTGTCTTTGTAGGTTCTGCTTTCGGTTACTCTAATACATCTCAGATTTGGTGTTCTTCAAAACACCTGGCCAATGGGCTGGACTGAGTAATCTGCACTTTTCTGCATAAAGAGCATTTGAAGTCTCGCGCTTTGATTTTGGTTTGCCTCCAGGTACACAGAAGCATATGGATAAAGGAAGTGTAGACAAACATAAGCCTCTTTTATATGACCAGTTGTTAACAATAATCTTAAAACAAGCCACCTGGTCTGAATATACCCCAAAAGTCACCATCAGCATCTTTTTAATCTAAAATGCTTAGAGATAAGAAAAACTCCAAAATGGTACTTTGATATAAACAGAAAATTCATATTCTGGCGAAGAAATTTGTTTTTTTTCCTTTAAAAAAAGAAAAATTCTCATTTATGTATGCCATTTATCTTTATCCTTCCTGATTTGCATACCGGCAATGAAAATAACCTACTCCCCCATTATTGGAATAGGCTTTTCAAGCCTGTTTCTTTTTTTAATTGCTCAATTTCCTTCTGGCATATAAGATAGAGTCTTTATTTTTTTTTCTTCATATTGTGGCGTAATAATTTTCAGATACATGTTCTTCTAGGAATATATGGTTTTCTGTACTATATTTTTAAAGCTGATTTACTGTTTTTCTTTTCTTAGCTTAAGGGTTAGAGGCTTTGGGCAGATTTTAAAGTCTGTGTTTGATCTTTTTTCTCCTATGAAGTTGACAGTTCACGGCAATCAGAGCGCTTTATCTCTCTGGGCTTTCTGCAAAATAAGTATCTCTTCATGTGAAAGTATATTTTTACATTTCAAACAGGGGCCATTTCAGAAATGCTTTTTTAACTTTTTTAAACAATGATAATGGTAAAAGACAATCCTTTCAAAGCACAGAAAAAAACAAAGTTCATTCTCTACCTTCCACATTATCTCAGTGTGGATTTTGCAGTTCACTGGGATGAAGGCAGTGCAGTGTGTGTTTTGTAAACCCAAAGCTGAGTGCAGTGGCATATAACCATTTCTGATTATACAGTAGGTGGCTCTTTGAATTGGGCCCAATAAAAGGAATGTGTTTCTATTTACCAGGAGAACACGTTTGACATTCTTCATTTTTCTTTGGTATGCTGATGCCTCTTTCTACTGCTATTAAGAGAGCAGATCTGCCCTTCATTGTGTGCACACAGGAGCTCTTTAGGTTTGGATGTGTAGTAGTGTCCTGCTCTGCGTACTGCTCTATGATGGAAATGCCAGAGGAGATGTTGATTATTGTTGACTGTGAGATAATACATCATAAATTTTGGGTAGGGAGATATTAAAATTACATTATTTTATCAGCCATTGTTATCTGTGAAACTTATGGACCATAGGTAACTACAACACATCTAAAAGTGCTGGAAGTATGAGTCCATTTTAAAAGATTTTTGTTTTGGTGAAGAATTGCTGGTGAGGGCTAACCCCATCATCTTTTCCCAGTGAAAAGAGGGAGGAATTTTGTGCTGCTTAAGTGGAAAGCATTTAACCATGCAATTAGCACGCTCATCTGGAGGAACGTGAAGAAAGACCCAAGAATCCTCTGGGGCGTGCAGTATGAATACCAATGCATTAATTAAAATTTCTTTACATATGTCTCTGCAGTTGGGTCCACATCTATCATGGGGCCATCTTTTTTCATAAAGTTACTGTGTACACACACAGCAAATGATGTTTATCTTTTACAGAACCACTTTCCTTTGGAGGCACATGAAAGCCCGGAGGCTCCTGGGTTTATACAAAAGTCTCAGGCTGCAGAGAATCAAACTGTCCTTCCTGCAGGGAGACCCTCTGAGACACCCGCACGTTGTGCAGCGTAAAAGCAAGTCTGTTTGGGTTGTCCATCTGGTCTCCTTTCTTTGTTGAAACTATGAAACATGCAATGTAAACACACAGTATAAATAGCCCAAACCAAATGTCATCTATAAACTTTTTTTTTTTTGCATCGGGCTTCATTGTTTAAAATTCTCTGGAGTGCAAGTTCCCAGACTCCTTATGCCTGGTGTTGAATCAGCAGATGCTTCCCTTTCATCCTTCTACCATGATCCATCCCACCAGGCCCAGGTTTTGTGCTCATTTTATCTATTTTCTGTCTACTCTTACTCTTGCTTTCCTCTGCTCTTCTCAGTTACTCTCTTTTCCACCGTATTCTACCCCAGTTCTAAAATTTACTGGTTTGGGACCCCTAAGTCAGGGGAACTTAAAGCAAGAACAAATGTTGGTGCCTTGGAATCCACATCCCCACCAAGATCAGCAACCAGACATATTGATGTGAATCCAGGGGGCAGATTTTGGGGTAAGAACACCAGCTGTCATGCTGCTCGTGCCAGATCTCAAGGGAGATTTCAGCTGGGAGACATGGCTGCTGCAAGCTCACCCAAAAGTAGCTGCGAGCACCATGCATCCCTTTGCTCCTGTGTGCCCCAGGTGGGGAAGAACAGAGTCAGAGACACACATTTTCAGCTGTTAATAGGCTGTAGTTGGCTTGGCAGTGCCCCTTTAAGCAAGCCCCTCACGAATCCTATGTTGCTTTATAAAGTTTATAAAGTTTTCCCATTCGATTTGTTGTTGCTAGGCGCTTGGCGTTGTTTTTTTTTCTAGTGTGCTTGTTTTGAAGAAGCCTTCAGCAGGCTAAGAATATTTTATAAGGTTAGAAAATGGTGTTAAATGTTAATTAGCAGTTGCATAATCCCAGGTGGCATCCTCCAACATGCACTCGTCAATTTTTAATGACTGTCACTCGTGCACATCAAACTCAAAATTAGCTTTCTTTCCCAAGCACTGTATTTGATTTTCACACTCGCTTCCCCTCCCCTTCTCCTTTGATGTTACTGACACAATATATCATGCTGGCATTTGCTTTGGTTTCATCTCCAGTGCATATTGTGATGTAGCTAGTTAGTTTATCTGCTACATATACACACACTCATATTAATGGAAGCATGTCCTGGCTTCTTTTTCTTCTTAGGTGTATCATGTAGTAACTTGAATCAGGGAAATTTGATGCAAAGGCATTTCAGCTTTCAACCTCAGAATTAAGGGATGTGCTCTCCCAGCTTCGCAGGAGGTAGCTGAAGGTGACCCAGTGACTTGAATCACATTTCATCCGTTGAAGCCCTAATCAGAGGTGGAAAGGATATTTAGCATGCTTATCCTATATGGGAATGTCCTCTGACAGCGGTTGGGTTTGGGTTTTTTGGAGGTGAAAGGTTTTTAAAATGAGAAATTTGCCAAGCCCAGTGGTGCCTGGCAGATGTGCACGTACAGATGGAGTAACCTCGTGATTGTGATTCTTGCACTGAGTCACTGGATGCTCTCAAAGCAATAATAGTGTTACTCAAACAGCTGGTCTCAGAGAGCACCCATACGCACGATGGATGCAAACAAAGGGACAACCAGGCTGGGTACAGTCATTTGAACTTCTACAGAGTCTTTCTTTTGAGTCTCTCAGGTTGAACATGTCTGTAGACACAAGTCTGTTAACCAGCCTCTATGGAAATCACGGGATGACTGAACAGAAGATTGGAGAACTGAATTTTTGTTGCTGATCATTTCCATTTTTCTTCTTAAACTCCCCTTCCTTTGTCCCCATCTGCCTCTGTTCAAAGGGTACCATTTCTGTCTGCTTTTGATTTTGATCACTAAATAATTTTACTTTGGTCTTCATTTTGCCTTGTTTTTTGTTTGTTAAAGACGGAGTTCTTCCAAGCATTGGGGTGATTGTGTTTTGTTAAATGGAGTTGTTAGCTCACTTGGCAGGAGGCTTTGTGCAGACTTTGCTTTGATTTCCCCTAAGAATACCATGTGTTTGAAACATATTGGCTTCTTGACACCATAGTGCCAGTGACCTCTCTTTCCAATAGAACAAACTCAGCTTTAAATTATTTTTATTAATCAAGATTTTATCTCTTACCAGAGATTGACAGTTTTCCAAAAGCTTTTTGACAGCTACTGTTGCATGCAAGAGGTGAACGAGAATTAGCGATTAAGTGTTACAGGCCTGATTCCTGCTGTTACTTACTGCAGTGTAAATTGGGGGAAAGCTCACTGATCCTCATGCAGTTACACCAGTGTAAATGAGATTACAATACAGTTGTGTATCCAGGAAAATGAAAATGTCATGGCAATGACTTGTGTCCAGCTTCTGAAATAAATAGATCCAACGGTAATAATTACATTTTGCTTTCGCCCTCTCTGCACACAAACAATTCTCACCAAATTTTGATGATCTGTACTGAAAATGTAGATGATAATAAATACTTCCACACTCACTGCTGGTTTGCAAGAGTGATGTAGCCTCTTAATAAGAAGAAGGGAGCGAGATGATGATACACAAATCATTGAGATGTCAAAAGGCCTCTATATTTTCTGAAAGTTTTCTGCTTAAAATATCTGTTTTTTGTGTTCATTTTTTCTTTTTTCAAATTACAGTAGCAAAAGGAAAAATAAAAGCACGTTTTTGTTTTGTTTTGCTTTTCTCATATCTCAGCACTGTGTAGATGCCTCAGTCACAAACAGAAGATTGGTGCAAACCCTGACCAAGGAGGGAGAAGGGATAACACCAAATAGTTACAGCAACAGCTGCTGACTCCCTTCCTGTTCTCTAGTGAAAGCAAGGATATAAAATATTCCAGTGTCCTAATTGAAACATATTGTGCTTTCATTTCAACGTTCTTATTGTGTGGGAGAACTTACAAGATCGTTCTAATATTAATTAAACCTTTTTGTTCTTTTGTAAGAAAAAGTAATCTGTTCTAAGAAGAATCAAGCTCTTGCTACTGCTGAACTTGCAGCCTTTCTAGAGCCATCTGGAAACTCCAACGTGGTAGATGACTCGGAGTGAGAAACTATTTTGAGTTTTTTCCAGTCTGGACCAGAAGTTGGATGTTAAAAATTTAATGAGATAGCTTGCTATTGTGGGAATTGGCACCCCGCTGGAATTTCTTAAAAGCTTTGAATAATAAGCAGTATCTATTAAGACTGAATTTAGGCTCATTTTGATACTCGGTCCACATTCTGATTTTCCTAGTTAGTTTTTCAAGGGATTTGGACTGCTGTCCATTGAAGCCCTGATGAGATAGACACCACTAAAGAAGCTGGGTATTTCACACTGTTTATGTTGGTAGGTTATTAGACAAAATATCTGTTCACTCTGGAAGACCTCCAATCATTTCATGTGAATTTGTCATCAAGCACGTCCTGCCAAGCCTCCCAAAGGCAGGCTTAGTCTTCTGTGTCTGCTAAGCCATCTGCATCAGCCTTAAAAGGTTGTCTGAACTCTGACTCAACCTGGCAGAAAAGAGCAGAAAGGTGTTTTCAGTGCATTACTTCTTGGTCTTTTTCCTGATGTGTAATTATATATTTTCAAACACACATACTATAATTCGTGAAACCTATTCATTTGGAGGGCAGGATTTTTTTTTCCCTTGCTTTTGAATTACAGTTTACCTAACGTAAGATATTCTGCCTTCCAAGAGACAGAAAATTGGATACTTCTGCCAATATTTGGAGTTATAAGCCGCTGCATGAATTTGATGATAGCATTAATCCCAACGTGTAGATTGTTACTGCAGTTAAGGACTGTCATATCAGCTCTAACAGCCCTTGGTATTGCTTCAGGCCATTGAGCAACAAATTGTCTGCAACGAATAATTTCTTGACACCCACCCCCTCCCTTTTTGTAATGAAAGGTATTATATTTAACATTATGCTGTCTTTTGTTCAGCTGTCACCACCAGACAATGCCAACAACCCTTCAGTCTATATAGTTGCCCAGTTATTCCCTCTCTTGGTAATATTTCTCAGACAAGATGAGATCAATTACGAAGTATTTTGAAGTATTGGCAGGTTTGTACTTTTTGGTATAGTAAAGTTCAGTAACCCCATGAAATCTGTGCATTACTGTTTTTCTTAGTCCATGGCAATTTTTAGGACAGACAAATACAGATTACAGTCTGCTATGAGTGTGTATTTGCATGTCAGAATGAAGTTTTGTAAGTTCATATAACAGCTTAGAGAAAGTTATGGCAGAGGAGGAATGTCAGAAGATGGAATTACTGGGGAAACGTTTACAGTTATTGGATAAAATTATTAAATAAAATTGGGGATGTGAAAACAGCAGAACATGACCTTGTTTTGAAGTCAGATACATCACCTTCTCAGTTGCCTTGTGTTCAGGTCTGATCTACTCACACTCTGATTCTAGGTTGTGTAATGGAAAGGGAAATAAGCCTGTTGTTCTGAATTAATTTATTCCCTGTTTATAGCTTGTTCCACCAAAAAGAGGGACAAGGGCTTTTTTAGCCTCTTTCCTTACAGTTAAGAGAAAAAAGGAACAACAGTAGATAGAAAATCTCAAGATGTAACAGTCTGGATGGGACTCCATGGCACCAGCAGCATTGAATGAACTTGCTGTTTCTTACTGGCAGGTGAGGTCCCTTTTGCTCATAAACAAATCCCTGTCTCTGTACCTCTACATGGGCACGGGTGGAGAAAACGCTCTTGATTTCATTGTGTTGCCCCATTGGAATTAATTTTGTTTCTCTGTAAATCAGCTGAGAGCTGGCCCAAATGCATCCCTGAAAATATGCTGAGCAGCTGGGAGTAACAAACAATTACAGTGTGTAACGTCCATCCACCTGGAACTGGGAGCTCACAGGAGCATAATGTTGTGACATAAGGCAAGAAACCTGCTTGGTAGGTCTTTTCTTCTTCGGCCATTTTATTTAAAGTATGGTTCAGTGTGAAACAAGCATTGGATTCCAGCTATTGTAGTGATCTGCTCTAGACTGGTATTAGTGCCTTATTAGCACTTCATAGTCATTGGCTTGGGCAGGGTGAAACCTGTTAAATGCCCTTTCTCCTCCTATCATTAAGCTTGGAGAACCTACAAAGCCCATAGAAAACTTCAGGGAGAGATGGTATGGTGTTGGTACATTGATGGGGAGGTGCTGATTGGTATTGCCCAAGGAATTTGCCACCAGTGAAAGGTGGGTTGCATTTTTTATCCTTATTATCAAGAGAAGTCGTGCTTTAAATTCCAGCTGGCTTAGATATGTGCAAATTTGTTGAAAGCTTTTGGTGATGCAGAGAGTAACTAGGATGTAATTTGGCTCTGCAGAACTTGAAATAGGAAAGCGAGAAGTAGGGGGTCTGATTTCCCTCTTAGGGTAATGTATCAGAAATAACTACTGAAATTAGTGAGCTACAGAAGTGTAAAATTTGGAGAAAGTGAAAAGCAAACAAGTTCCATTACCATTTTACTTGTAAACTCAACATATCTGATAAAGAAATCATTTAGAAATAATAAACATGCCATTTCTACAGTCACATTTCAGAGCAGAACTACACTTCAAGGGCTATAATTGCGACCTACATTCTGAATTAGTTGATAAGGCTGACCCCCCACGATAATCTCAAATTAAAATCTTATAAATTACCACTTTCTGGTAAGTAGGCTTGCTGTTATCATTTCACTTTGACATTTATTCTTTGCTGTGGGTCACTGCTTTATTACTGTAAGAGCTTTTGGCCAAGTGCTGTTCCCAAGGCACAGGAAAAACGTTAAAGGTTAATTTCTTGCAAACTGTGAGAAAATGTTACTTCTCATTCATTTGGTCTTGCATTACTGAATTTGCATTCTTTTTGTAGTATGTGTATTAGTATGTAGCTAAAATCCCTCACAGCAAATCAACCAATAAATTACATTGCATTACAGTGCAGTAATGAATTGCTTGTCATTTGGTTTCCAACAACAATAACAAGAACTTTTCTTTAGTGCTCTTAGCCAGACAATTAACGTATTCTCTTGTGGTGTAACTCTGAAGTCTGTGGAGAATGCCTGCAGAATATTTGGCCCAAAGGTTGTAAATACCATAACGGTTGCTTGTCATATCTTTATCTGAATATGTCTTGGGCTGTAGAATTGTATTAAAAAAAAAAAAAAAAAAAAATTATAGTGAGAGCAAATGTTTGGATCTACTGTGTGCTGAGTCTTCAAATGGACAGGCAATTTCCCTGGAAATGAGCAGCTGTTCCTCAAAGGCAAAACAATTCTTGAATGGCCAGCGCAAGGCTGGATGGGTTAATACCTGCCAAAAAGAGCTCAACAAAGCATTTATTCACCATGTAAACTAAATTCTCCTGGGATCTGACAAGAGGATGCATGTGGTGGATTTTTTGGGATTTACTGGAATGCCATCCTCCAGGTGGTAACAAGCCCAGAAGGCAACAAGGGTGATGCAAACGGATAATTGCCCTCTGAATAGATTGTATTTGATGTGAAGTTAAAGGTATTAATGTCAACCTTCCCGATGGGGAAATTCTTCAGAGGAACTGCTAATTATCTCCATGCTCATCTGCGATCCAGGAGAAGTAGCTGAACTAAAATGTCATAACTGCGTGTTGCTTGGGCAAGGACTTTTCCCCATGGAATTGAGGTTGTCCTTAAAAAAATGAAAAAGTGGAATACAACGTGAGATTAATACAGTAAAGATATCTTCTCACCCACATCCCTTTGGTATCACTCAGAGGAATTTGGCTGTGTGGAATAGGAGGGAAGGAAATATTGACACAGCTCTTTACCAGACAGAAATGATTAAAAAATGAATCATGGTTTACAACATGCAAGTTATCACCAGTGCTTCCCTTAAGAAATAGATTAATAAAGTCGTGGCCTAATTAAACCTCAGATCTTTTTTGTCTCCTTGCCCATTTGAGGCTGACATTTTTGAGATCACTGTCCCAGGGTCTCATGTGCCTTGTGTGTGGCTGTGGAAGCAGCTGAGATGTTTGCACACTGAGTCACTTAAGTATTTCCATTTTGCACGAGAAGGTAATTTGACCAATCAATTAATTGCTTACTAGTTTTGACTGCAGATAGTTTATGCTTAGGATCAAGAAACAGCTGTGTGATCTCTCCTGAGATTTCTGTCACTACTCTACTGTCTAGCTTTAGTTCTCTCCAATTATTTTGGTGATCTTGCGTTTTTCCTTTACTGCTGAGTTTGGAGACTCCAGTAGGTCAGAAATTAAATGTGTAACCTGTGTGTGTGAGGAGCATCCATCTCATAAAAGCTTTGCTTTGTTTTGAACTGCGTGACTCTTACAGCAAGAGGAAGGTGAGCAATGCTATTAAAGATTATCCAAGGTTTGCTTTGGTGCCAGTTGATGGTTATTTGTAATAGAGGGTCTTCCAGGAAAAGCAGACAAGTAACATGTGCATCACCTGGTACTGGGGGATTGCTGTCACCCATCCCAGGCCTAGCACTAGTAATAGAAACCAAAGGAGTTCATCATTCCCAGTGTGAATGAAGTTCACTTGAAAAATAAGATTGGTAAAATACTTCTTAACATGCTACATTGTGAGGCATCAGCATGCAGTAAGGAATATGTATACACTGCATGAAATTCACATCTTAATCTTTTGTGGCTTCATAAGGGTTAAGATATAAGTTGGAGCATTCCATGTGTCCCAATTCATTCGATATTCACCATGAAGGAAGTCTGACCCTTTGAGATTTTATTTTCTTCTCCAATTTGTAAGTATACTCCCTGTATGCTTTCATCCTGATTCAGAATTTTATTTTGAATTAAGCTCACTGATGGCTGTCAGTGAAGGATGTACTTGCTGCTGCCCATCTTAAAAAGATATCTGAAACTTGAGCGATTCCCCAAGACACACTGGTTCAGAAATATTAAGGGGTTCTGAATTGGTTCTTATTTCATTTGCAGTAAAATCACAACTTTTATCTTTCTTCAGGGAAGAAATGTATTCAACAATGATTGGATGAGAATATGGATTGCAGGAATAGATTTTTATGGTGTTACAGGTATGAAATACAA